TGCTGTTTGTTTGTTTGTTTGTTTGTTTGTGTTTTGAGGTCTGCGATTGTCGATTCATGCAATCTAATATGATATCATCGTTTTGGCTTTGTGCAAATGCCATGCTTTCAGTTTTGCCTGTTTGTTTGTAATCCTGTTCTGCTTGGTTTCTTCCCCACGTGATTGACCGCTCACGTGTCTTTCAACTTAGTGTAAAATTTTTGCTTGTTGTTCGGTCGCCTGCTCTTTTCCCCATCCTTTGGTACTCTAACTTGCCCCCCTACTCTAACTTGCGTCCCCCTTCAATGTCTCCCTGTTCCGCATAAAGCTCTGAAAGACGAATAAAACCTCATGTGGACTGCGAAGCAATACTTTCCCCCCTAAATCCAAAAGAACACCAAAACCACTTAAATCCCGAAAACATCGAAACTTCACCTCATGTCTCATTTCTTTCTGTTGCACCTTGTGTTTAGTCTCTTCGTTTAGTTTTATCATTGGTTAGTTCTGTTGTGCTTACACATTCTGCTGTTTACAGTTTACGGTTCATCTTGTATTTCTGCTCTTGTCTTGACTGTAATTCTTCAAGCTTCTCAGTTTTTTCCTTGTTCCTGGTCTGCCTTTTCAGTACTTTATCAGTTGTGCCCTTGCTATGTTGGAGTTCCTTGCTTTCTCTATTTGCTTCCATATGTTGTCACTGCATTTTCTTTTGCTTCGGTGCATCACTTTGATTTTTTTCCTGCTCGTCTCTTGGTTCGGATTGCTGTCTCCTCTGGCCTGCTCCAATTTGGGATGTGAAGGGATCCTGCTTTCATCCTCTCTGTTGCCATTTGTATCTTGTTCTCCTCTTGTTCTCCTCCCTTTCTTCTGCATCTTTTGCATAACGTCTTGACTGGGTTGTTCTTTCGTGGTTGGGTTCTCCACATACTTTTGCGCTCACTTTCAAGGGCATTTCTTCAGTTTGCTTTCGTTGTGTTGTTTTATCTTCTGAAGGAAACCGAACACATTTGAGTCCAATTTTGTTCTACCAGCACCTGTGAAGCCGTTACCAGCGTGGCAATAGGGTAAAATGAATTCAGTATGAGAAACACGCAGCAGAAATGGTTTTATTCTCTCCGGGCCTGTGATGCAGTCGAGTCTGGATTCATATCAGGATAGAAAACGTAGAGGGGGTTTTCGTCATTGTCTCCACCATTCAGGTCAGCCAGTGACACACCCGGGCGAACTGCTTCAGAGCCACCATCTTTCGCCTCTTCGCTCTGAAAAATCTGAAGATCATCACTATCAACACCACCCAATTTGTTTTTCACCTCCTTCTTGACTGCCTTGCGCAAATCATCCACATCGTGCAACCCTGTGATATTGACCTTGATGGGTGTCACACCGCCTTTCACTTTGACCCATAGATACTTCTCACGTCGTGGAGACCTGCTCCTCTCTGCCATGGCGAGCAAATCAAGCACCGTTGGAAGCGTTCTGTGAGAAGCATTGTGCTTGTTTGTTTCCCAGTTCAATGTGCTGTCTCCAGTGTCATGGAACTCGGACTCTCCAGCGTTTGTTGCCCAAGAGATGCAGCACATCGAACTCTCAGAACAATTGCAATGCTTCAGAAAACAAAACTACATGGTCTTGGTTTTTGTTAAAGATTTCATTACCAACTCGGCTCATTTGGTTGGTATGCTGCATGTAGTGGCGCGCGTTCACAGTAGAAACTACCGCAAATCCAAAATTGGCTGCAGCAAGCACGCTGCAATTGTCAGAGGCATTTCCTTCTACTCCAGTTAGCAATCAGGACCACCAGTAAAATATGAAAAACAAACAAATCCACAGGTGATGATGCCTGGAAAGTGTTCCAGCAAGTTTTTGCAAATTTTGTTGAATGGCATCCACCTTGCCACATCTTCCTGAAGCCTAGTTGAATGATTGAAGATGTACTAAAGGTTCATTCTCGTCCGTTCGGAGTTGCGACGGCTTACACCTATGAAAGAGATTCCACAGAAAAAAATGAGGTTTGCAAATGTCTTTAAACTGGAATTGAACCAGAATTTTTGTGAATTGATTGTTTTTTCCTCTCACTATCGTGGCCACAGTTTGAACCGTTATCGTCTCCTTAATCATATGTGTCGTCACGGTCACCATTGTCATCATCATCATCATCGTGCGGTGACCGTGCATTGTTGCCACCCTACATTGGGCAGGGGGGCCTCGCATGTGAAAAGAAATATTCAGAAGTTTGTGGAAACGGGTAATCCTAGTTTCAGTATTCCTTCGTAAACATATCAAAGAATGCACAAATTTAGGTTTGCTTAATTTTTTTCTCCACGCTGCGGTAATGCACTCTATCTAGTGTTTGAACAGTGAGGTTCAAAGCAAAAAAAAATGGGAATTGAAACACTGGGGGTGTAGAAACGGCACAACATGGCGTTGATATGTGTATATATGAGGTTTGCATACAACCTGTGACTATCTGGGCGCGTGGATTTTTTTTTCTGAATACGGCAAGTGTGATGTCTGTCATGCGTTGAAATGAATGGCATTGATGGGTTTTGTCTCAAGCTTATGACCTTGTCGGCTCCAAACATAGCCATCTGCCATGGTGCCCTGATTCAATGTAAGCAAAAAAACGGTCGAACTCAAGCAGATCGGGTCCAAAAGATTTCCATTAGCGAATCACATTTAGACAACAAATAACTGTACTTCTCAGACTTTAAGGTCTTGTGTTTGGTTACAGTTGTTGTTGGCGTACGGCGCATTTAAAGGAAAGGCTTGGCAAACATAGACCGTGCAAAAACTTAAAACAGCGTTTTTGAACACAGCTTTGAAGTTGAGAGTTGAAAGCAGTGGGCTTCTCTTTCGGTCGTGGGCGAACACTGTTTGGCTGTTAGCTCTTTACAACCTTCGGTCTCGAGCTGCCACCACCCCCCTTTGTTTCTCGAGTCAAAGGAAATTGTATGGCCAGGTGTCGAGGTCGCTTTGGTCAACCGTTTCGACTGGCACATATTCCTCGACAGCGTTTTCGAGCAGGGCTTTGACGTGGGTAGAAGGTTTCCACGCATTTCCAGGGATAATAACCAATGTCGGCCTCAGCTGAATGAAAAGCCTGAGCCAACTGCATCATTGTCGAGCTGGTGCTAACTCCTTTGATTGCAGAAAAACGGGCTGCCTCATTGTCGATGAAATAAAAAACTCTCTTACCAGAGAGTCTGCTCGCCAGAGAATGTTGAATAGCAGTGCTGCCAACTCCGCCTGAGAAATGATCTGCTTCCCTGCAAGTGACTGCCAAGCTTTCACAGTGGATGCAGCAATTTCACCGTCATAAACAAGAGTCTCCCCTGAAGGGAAAAATACAGCAGCCCCCATGGTTGCCAAGTCGTCGTGAAAAGCACTGTCAGTAAAAATCAAAATGGGCCCCTCGCTGGTTGAACACGAAACAATGCGGGGAGGCTTGCATGAAACCAGCAATTTGATCTTCTCATCAGCAACGCCTCTGACAACTCCATCGATCCTCCACCGGCTCTTGAGCAATGCCGAGGACAGCAGATTGCCAGCGGCTCGCAACACTTTACCATTATATAATATAACCCTGAAGCAAAATTGAGGTGGCCACGAATCACTGACAGGTCTCGGCGGGTGGCTGCGTCAGCCTTGCAGAGGGAGTGCAAGAGGCTGCAAATAAACTCAGCCCTACCAGGCTTATTACCAACTGTGAAACGCAAACTGGAAGGTGGCATTGCAAGGCCACTGAGGTCAATCTGGGAGCCCAGCACGTGGAAAACCTCAGCAATAGTCAGGGCTCTTATCCCCGCACTCCGCAAACTTCCAGCCCAAGATTCGAAGTATTGTTTCGGCTGACAGTCGAAATGATCTTGCAAGGCAGGCTGGCTGTATGCTCGGGAAGTGGTCAAAATAACATCCGGTGGGAATATCAAGCACTGCAAAGAAAATAAACCCCAAGGCACGGCTCAGCCGAAGAAAGCGGCTTATGTAGTATTTCACAGGCCCTTCTTCGGACGCCACCCCAATGACCACCAGGTGTTGGTCACTAGAGTGAACAAAAAGTGGCCAACGAATTTGCCAGCCGAAGATGCCGCTTGGATTTTCGCCTGAAGGCATGTTCCGTCAGAAAGTTGCACAGAAACACCGCCGTCGCTCAGCATAGACTTGCCCAGACAATCTTCCAGTTGCAGCTGTTCAGTGACAATGAACGTGTTGTTCAATCCGGATCGTCTGCAATCATCGATAGCCCTTGGTTTGCCGGATGCTCCCTGTCTGATTAAGAATCGAGGGGTGTAAACCCAATTGCCATTGCGAAGCCTCTTGCTAACTGAAGCCTCATCGTGAAAGGGGCCTTCCATGAAACCCATAGCCACTTCCGAATCCGAATTGGCCACCAATTCCACTGCATCTTTGAAGGAGAGCTCCTTCGAATGTTCTGCGCCTCCAGACAGCCTCCATGCTCCTTTGTAGAGGTGCATGGAATGATCTTCTGTTCAGCATAGGGTGGAAGATCGTGATGGCCTTAGCAGAGAAACCACACCCGGATCATCATAGCCGTCGCTGCATAAGGAGGACCTGCTTGCCCTCCATGATGACCTTAGAGTGAGCTGGCAGAGAGTTGGTGAGCTTCTGTTCATCCTTCTCAAGCTGAGACTTCCATGTCAGAATTTGTTTCAGCCTCGTGGCACGTTGGAGGGCAAGGCTTGCAGAATCAACTGTCATCATTGAAAAGATTGCTCGCTTAACCCAGTCGGATACCGGATTGTCAGCGTCCATTGGGTGATTCAAAGCTTTTGCCTTGCTCACAAACTGCCGCGGGGTGGCGTAAAAACGCACCTTGCATAAACTAGACTGTGCACCTTCCCCCGTTGAATCAGTCGGTTCAAAAACCTTACAGCCGTCCAGGTCTGTTGGAGGTGACTGGAGTTTGATGACATGAAGCTCGGGCACTAACGAAAGGCGAGCGCAGCTGGAGGAGGGCGAGGTGTCACCTGAAAGAGCTTGCCAAGAATGGTGGCAAACCGTTTGCAAAAACAAGGCTGGATAGGCTCCTTCAGCAGCAGTGCTGAAAGTCCAAACGCCATCAACCAATGTCAAACTGTAAGGTTCATGCGCATGAGAGGCATCACAGGTACGAGCCAGCGATTGCAAGAACCTGTCTGTGCAGAGAAACCTAGTGGATTTTAACCTTTTGCCTCCGTGCATACAATTATCGAAGTCGACCCGGTGCAAACCATTGTAGCTCAGTTGCGGCTTGATGCATCCAAACTTCCATGCGAGATATGCCCAAAAATGGGATCGCAGGGGGTTCTCTATTGAAATGAAAACTTTGTTGGCAGCGACCCAAAGTAGGGCTTCAAACACAAAATCATACATCAAATTTGCTAGACGCACACGCTCAGCATTTGTAGGGCTAAGATTGGGAAGGCCTGCACACCATTCTGAGCTTCTCAAAGGAACTGGCCGAGGTGGGGAACGTTGGAATATCTTTCTCTCGAGCACGTGAGGAAGTTCCACACGCAACACCAAAATGGATGGCCTTAAGCCTCAAAACATCTACCATGTTCCAGAAAACAAGCTGATGGTCGGCCCTGGCAAGGTCCAGGTCCATTGCCCTCCCAATCAATTGCCACAACATCGAACCCACAATCATGCATTGTCTTGGCCATGGGAGCAAGAACCCCAAAATAGGGCAAGAATGGGAACAGGGTGGGAACAAAGTGCGAACAAGAAGCCAAAAGCAGGGGAAGAAGCGGAACAAAGGCAAAGTGGGAACAAAGTGGGAACAAGAACAAGTGGGAACAAGAACCCCAAAGCGGAGCAAGAATGGAAACAAAGTGGGAACAAAGTGGTAACAAGAACCCGAAAGCGGGGCAAGAATGGTAACAAAGTGGAAATAAAGTGGGAACTAGAACCTCAAAGTAGGCCAAGAATGCGAACAAATACAAAGCGGGAACAAAGTGGGAACAAGAACCCCAAAAGTGGGGCAAGAATGGAAACAAAGCGGGAACAAAGTGGGAACAAAAACCCCAAAGTGGGGCAAGACTCGGGAACAAAGTGGAAACAAAGTGGGAACAAGAACCTCAAAGTGGGAACAAAGTGGGAAGAAAATGGGAACAAGAACCCCAAAGTGGGACAAGAATGGGAACAAAGTGGAAACAAAGTGGGAACAAGAACCTCAAAGTAAGGCAAGAATGCGAACAAATACAAAGCGGGAACAAAGTGGGAACAAGAACCCCAAAAGTGGGGCAAGAATGGAAACAAAGCGGGAACAAACTGGGAACAAAAACCCCAAAGTGGGGCAAGACTCGGGAACAAAGTGGAAACAAAGTGGGAACAAGAAC